AATCTTACTGAATTTACGTTTAGCATTAGCCAGCACTTTTAAATTTGCCAAGATGTCAGGCGCTCTGGCTCCCAGTAAACATTGGACTATGGTGGCTGGTGTCTCTATTTTCACATTCCATACAATAGAATCACCAATAACTAGGGCTCTTTCAACAGGTTTCTCAGTAGGTGCATCACTGAGTGGGGAGAACCTGTTTAATGTTTTGATCGGAATGGAAGAGCAGTGTTTTGTCCCGTGACTATGCCACCTCACAGTCAAGTCAAGTCAAGTCACCTTTATTTATATAGCGCTTTTAACAATACAGATTGTGTCAAAGCAACTGAACAGAACCGAACAATGTACGGGACTCGCTAAGCTAGTCGCATCCAAAGCCGTATCTAAGACCCTCACATTCTTACTATCCTCATTAAAGTTTGGATGCGTGTCTCTAGTTCTGAAACCATCTCTGTCTGCCTAACTATTTCCTTGCATTTATCACATGTGAATCCCTCATGGCTGACAGAGAAAGCTACACTATGCATGTGGCAAGCAGTGCAAGTGACAATAAAAGGAGAAGCCATTACTCACCGTGATTGTTGAATGATTCCGACTTACCACAGTTGTTTGATGAACTCATGAAAATGTAGCGAGAGAGAAAAGAAACGTAACGAGAGAGAGAGAGAAAAAGAAACAGTAGGCGCGAATAACAGGCTAACGGAATGCTAACGCGCTGCACTCACGGTTTAAAAAGCGAACGATATCAAATTAGTATGCTAGGTAATGTCAGAAGTATGGTGATAATTAAGTTATAGTTTAGCAGTTTAAAGAACAGAAAGTGATAGTAAGATAGAGATTCCAACAGAAAAACAAAGCTACACGGAGCTACAATCGCAAAACAGCAGAAAGGAAGAGGAGTGTCAGCGCCGTTAATGCAGTGTCAGATGCCGAAAGCTTGTACTTTTTTTTTTTTTTTACTTTCACATTGTATAATTGACTAAGGTTAAAACGTTCACCGGCATAACAAATTTGCACATTGCTTAATATCAGCCTTCATGGTTTAAAAAATAAATATTTCCAATATTGCGACGTAACAAACCCTAGGTCTAGGACCTAGGACTAGTGGTTCGCGGTGGGGCCCTGAAAGCACGTGAAAGTCTGTGTATTTTTTTATTTTTGCAAAGGTCCGTTTATTCTAATATTGTATATAATTGAAATTGTTTTTCGATAAGCGCTCGCTGTTCACTTTCAATTTCGTATTGGATGCAGGGTTGTCAAGTCCATGGTTTTTTTTTTTCAAAGAATTTGGCTACTTTTAAACTGTTTAGGTGGGTTGATTTCCCCCCTTGAAAAAAAACCTTTTGGTTAAAGGTTTGAAATATTGCATAAATTACAGTTGACTATAAATGCTTATATTGAAACATTTTACATTCTACGTATGATAAATCTTAGCTAAATGTTAAGTTTTGTGAAAGGGCCACTGGTAGGAAGCCTTTGAACTCTGTTTATGATCAATGTATATAACAGTGACCGTAAAATATGTATTTTAGGTATGGAAATTACATATTTTGATATTTTATTATTATTATTAATTATTATTATTATTATCATTATTATTATAATAATTCTTATTATTATTATATTTTGATATTTGGGATTTGGCCATTGCGTTATTTTGGGATGTTTTTGACTGTCATGGGCTAGTTTTGAGATGCAGACCTGGCAACCCTGGCTGTATTGAGCAGAGCAGACACTTTCAGTTTATTGTAGTGTACGTTTTCCAGCTGAACTAAATGATTTCTTTTCAAAAAAGCAAAACGACAGTAGGGGCCGCGTTGGGAAAGTAATGTAATCAGTGTACGACCAAACACTGTGTAAACACCTGTTTAGCCTATGTAACTCCATCATTCTTGGTATGTGCCAAGAATGCGGGATGGCGGGACCCGCGCTACATTTTTTTGACCACACATTCCCACCCGCAGTAAAAGTAAAACCGCCCACTCCCACGAGATTTGCGTTGGGTCCCATGGGACCCGCGGGATCCCAATCTCAATGCAGCCCTACTGCACCTATCTTTAGTGAAGCAGCACTGAGAGCCACTTCTGGGATGCCTTGGCTGGTATAAATACAAGCATTGACTAGAGTGGCCGCAATCAGCTCCGGTGGCTGTGTCGGAGACGTAATGCAGCGCAGACATGTGCAGTGATGTGCAGACCAGCTCTAAAGTCACTGAATCTTCTGTTAAAAATGAACCATCCATTCATCATATCATCATGCAAAACTAAGAATTAGAATAATTGTAATGTGACAATCGGGTGCGGGTAGGGGCGGATATCTAAATCAGAGAAAAATATAGCTGGGGGTGGGTTGATGGTGGATAAATTATTAGAAGCAGTGGATTTGGGTGACGTTTGAGCTGATCTGCGCATTTCTAGTCACCAGATCTCAATTCAGTAGAGCACCTTTGGGAGCAACTGTATGATACTATCGTGTTAATGTTATAGTTCACCCAAAGATGAAAATTACTTCATGATTTACTCACCCTCAAGCCATCCTAGGTGTATATGACTTTCTTCTTTCAGACGAATCCAATCGGAATTATATAAAAAAATGTCCTGGCTCTTCCAAGCTTTATAATGGCAGTGAATGGGTGTTATTGTTCAATAGTCCAAAAGAAGTCCAATAAAGTGCCTCCATCCATCATAAAAAGTGGCTGCACTGCTCTGAGGGGTTAATAAAGGCCTCCTGAAGCGTATCGATGTGTTTTTGTAATAAAAACAAAAACAGCCCGACACTAGCAAGGTGTAAGTAATAAAGTGGCTAGTGAATGTATGTCCATTAAATCTTTTGTCTAGTTGACTTTTCCAGGCTTGGAAACCACAATTTTAAATGTTCCTAATATAACCTGTGGTATATAACATTGTTTTTATCTGTGTGTATTTTGCGCATCATTTTGCATGTAGGCCTCTCCATTTGTAGCGGCCATTCAAAAGGTGGAAATATTGATTGATACTTCCCCTTCAGCATGAAGGGGGCACCCTTTTATTAAAGGTCATCCTAACTTCACTGTGCTGCTATAGTCAACCAGGTCAACTATAGGTCAACTATATAGTGAACAGTCATCTCTCCTTACTCTACACTCGTGATGACACTGACAATATGCTTTACAAATGTATCGTTCAGCCCAAAATGACTGTATAAAACATCAGACCAAAAGGCTTCATTGACCCCAAACAGCATGACAAACATTTAAAAAAAAAAAAAATGTGTCATATGTAGAGGTATGCAGTATCTAATAAGCTTGCAGTACTCACCGCATAACCTTTACAGTTGCAAAATATATGTAAAATGTTGTCTAGTCCAAGTTTGGAGGCAAGGAAACAGGGCTAAAGTGATCTGTTCTAGAGCTCCACCTGGAGGCCAACACTGACACAAACCATAGTTGGTAAACAGTGCAGAAGGTTTTAGATTGTCACTTTAATTGTCTGGTGTATGTCTGTCTCATCCACACACATTTACACTTAATCAAATACATATTTAACCCGCTTCCCACACACACAAGTCTGTTCAAGTCAATCAGAGCAATGCATAATGTAAAACCAATAAAAAATTACATAAAATTAATTTCATGAGAAACACAAATCACACTAAATTTGCTTTGAATATCAGATGTGATAAACATTTATCATACAGTTTATTTAGTTAATCTTATTATATTACAGTATTATTATAATCATAGTGTATTTTAATTTGTCTTTGAACTTTTTTTCAGCTTCCTGGACAGAATTGAGTCTGTACGACAGGGTGACTATACACCAACAGACCAGGTGAGGGCGCTGTCACACTAGATTTATTATTATTAATGATCAGCATCATTAAATTGAGAGTTTGTCCATTTCTTCCAGGATTTGCTGAGGTGCCGTGTTTTGACTTCAGGGATTTTTGAAACTCGATTTCAAGTAGACAAAGTCAACTTTCAGTAAGTCAGCTTTTTTATATAATATATTTACGTAGAAGTAAAGCATTTTAATCTACTGTAGGCTCCAAATGAATTTTATTTTATTTTAATCCCAGCAATAAAGTTTTACATTAAAAAAATTAAAGCCAGGACATAAAATGAATATTCCTAAGCAATTGTTTGGCATTAACCATGTAAACTTCTTACAGTGCAAAACGGTATATTTTCCTTAAACCATGCTAAAAAACGTGGATCATCAGGTTTTGTTCATGACTGCTTGAATTCTGCAGTCATTAAAGCAAAAGGGGCACATATCAAATACAGACATTTTCAAACCCATATTATGAAAACCATATCATACCCATAGTTCAACAATGCAATGACATTGTTATGCGAGTAGTATAAATTGTAATGATAAATTGTGTATTTAATGAACGACTTTGTTCAAATTCTGCTTGCATCTGTGCTTATTGTGTTGTATTTTGATCAGTTGTATCAGTTTTGTCAGTTGTAGCAAACATCTCTTCTTTTTAAAGACAAAAAAACAATTGCAATTAATATAACACAATCCACGTTTAATATCTTAGTAATGACCTCTTAGAAAAATACATTCTATAACACAGCGATTTTTTTGAAAGATGTAGTGCATTGCTCAGTTAGGCTTCAGAATTGATATGGACACATTTGTTGGTACCCTTACAGTTCATTCAAAATGCTTCATTCCTCCTGGAAACTAATGAAATGAAAAGCAATTGTCTCACATATATCTGCATTCCTTTGGTATGTCATAGAGAAATGCAAAGAAAGCATGAAAATAGATAAATTATTGCTTATACTACAGATATATTAAAAAATGGTCAGAACAGATTTTTTTTTTTTTTTTTGGTTCCCCTAGAAAATAGAACAGATTTTTTTTTTTTTTTTGGTTCCCCTAGAAAAGATTGGATTATAGGAATGTTTTAACAAACTGCTTTACTTAATTAGTATCACACATGACTTCAATGTTTTAATCTGTCATTCGGCATATTTAAAAGGAGAAATGTAGGCACTATCCTGATTGCTATCATTGTGTGCACCACGCTGTACACATGGACCAGAGAAAGCAAAGGAGAGAGTTGTTTGAGGAAATCAGAAAGCATGTGAAAAATGGTAAAGGTTAAAAGACCATTTCCAAGCAGCTTTATTTGATCTGTGCCATTTTATTTTGTTTTATTTAAAATATTCTGTTGAATCAGTGGGTTCTGCACTCTTGCGAAAGTCCCATTAAAATAAAAAAAAGCTGCTATATCTCTAAGATTGGCTACAATGTTGTAGTGATTTCAGTGTAAAATAGCCTCACACGGGGCACCACTAAATGTCGAGATTTTAGATCTAAGTAGCACCACAAGTGTTATGGCTTTGGGCTTAAATATTAATATTAATATTTAGTTTTGGTCACACTATTTTACAGGGCACCAGCCAAGAATTTCACCTTGACAGTAAAGAACAGTCATGAAAGATTGTTGAATAAATAAGAATTACAGTACATAAATTGGAGGAAGTTGTAGTTTGACCAATCTGAAGGATTTTAGAGATATTGTTAACTTGTAGAGCCTCTTACTGTTTTATCAACACAAAGAAGACACAATTATAATAAAAGTAGTTTTATTAACAAAAGGATAGATAAGAGTAACTAACAACTACTAAAAGTTCCTGAGTGGGGGTTACTGTATGTTAATGTTACCCCACTTCTCCACAGGTAGTGTTGTTTTATCTGAAGGCAAAAAGGCATCCTTTTAACTCATCAGAAGCTTGTTGTAAATGGAAACCTCTGACAAATTTGTCAGAGCACAAATACACAAGGGATTCTTTGAAAGCAGTAAGTCGGTACTTTGTAAATGGTTGTTTTACATAAATAATAATAAAATAAACAAAACTAAATAAAACATTGCTTCATATACATTGCTCAAAAAAATTAAAGGAACACTTAGTCATCACAGTATAACACTAAGTCAGTTAAACTTCAGTGATATCAGTCTGTCAGGTTATGAAGCATAAGTGATTGTGAATCTGTTTAACCTGCTTTGGTGCAAATGAAAGTGACAACAGCATTGGAGAAGCAACAGCAAGACAATCCCCAAAAAGGGAGTGGTTTTGCAGGTGGTTGCCACAGACAGTTGCTCTCTCTTTATCCTTTTTGACTTATTTGTCTCTAGTTTTGTGTTTTGTTATGATCCTTGTCACTCCTTGTAGAATGAGGCAGTACCTGCAACCAAATCAGTTTACACAGGTAGACCAGCTCCTCCAGGATGGCGCATCCAAATGTGCCGTCGCAAGGAGGTTTGGTGTGTCTCAAAGCACAGTTTCAAGAGCATGGAGGAGATACCAGGAGATGGGCCGTTACACAAGGGGAGTTGGGCAAAGCCGTTGAAGGGTAACAACCCAGCAAACAGGACCAGTATCTTGAGCAACAGGAGGAGCAATGCCAGAGCCCTACAAAATGACCTCCAGCAGGCTACTGGTGTGCATGTTTCTGAAGAAACTATCAGAAACAGACTCAATAAGGGTGGCATGAGAGCCCGACATCCTCTAGTGGGACCTGTGCTCACAGCCCAGCACCATGCCACTGGATTGGCATTTACCAGAGAATGTCAGAATTGGCAAGCCCACCTCTGGTGCCCAGTTCTCTTCATGGATGAGAGCAGGTTCACATTGAGCACATGTGACAGAAGTGAAAGTTTCTGGAGATGCCATGGAGAATGTAATGCTGCCTGCAACATCATCCAGCGTGACCGGTTTGGCGGTAGGTCACTGATGATCTGGGGAAAAATACCCTTGTAGGGTCACACAGACCTCCTTGTGCTAGCCAAAAGTACCATTACTGCTGTTAGGTAACAGGATGAAGTCCTGAAAGACATTATCAGACCTTACGCTGGTGCAGTGGGCTCTGGGTTTCTCCTGGTGCATGACAGTGCCTGCCCTCATGTGGCCGGAGTTTGTAGGCAGTGGATAACGAAGGTATTGATGCCATTGACTGGCCCTCACATTCCCTCAAACCTGAATCCAATTGAGAACCTCTGGGACATTATTGGAGCATCCGAAGCCGGCAAGTAGCATGTGGGGGCCATACAATCTACTGATTTACATTATGAGTTGCTGTGATGAAATTCATGCAAGTTAGATCATCCTGTAATTTATTTATTTTATTTTTGTTTTGTTATTTCTTTATTTTTGAACTTTGATTTTCTGTGTGTTTTTGAATCCAGGCCTTAATGGGTTGATGATTTTGTCATTTAATTCTTAACAAATTATAGTGTATATACAAGTAAAGATTTTCAGCGTGAATATTTTGTTAATGGCGATTCATGGTGGGGCAATGGTTAGAGAGTCGGACTTGTTACCCAAAGGTCGTGGGTTCGAGTCTCGGTACCGGCAGGGATAGTAGGTGGGGTGAGTGAACAAAATTCAGTTCTGCTGTAGAGCAGCTCTAAAAAGAAGACAATAGTAAACAGTAAATTTTTCCATTAAAGTCAGTTCATCATTGATTCGGTGATGTCATCGTCCAGCTCAATTCAGTTCTCTTCAAATAGTGTCTGTGGAATCAAGTTGACAGTATTGCCAAAAATTAGGTGTCCCCAACTAAGCAAGACAAAGGTGACGGTGGCAAGAAAAAATTAAAAAAAAAGGATAAAAGCATTTACACTAGTATTCTCAGACATTTGGTCCCCACTATATATCTATAATTGATCTAATGATTCATATCTGGATTCAATTACTACATTTATATAAATACTTATTTGTTAAGTTGTTATACAGAAACATTTCTTATTTCTTTCTCCCTGTGTGTCAGTATGTTTGATGTGGGTGGTCAGAGAGATGAAAGAAGGAAATGGATTCAGTGCTTTAACGGTGAGCTTGCAGATTTGCATTTTTTTTTTCAGTAAACAAATTCACAAAAACTGTTTTGTTGTTGATATATCTGAAAGTAACTAATGGTATTTAAGTTAAAGGGTTAGTTCACCCAAAATGAACATTGTGTCATCATTTACTCACCCTCAAAACACACACACACACACACACAAAACACACACAACTTAAACCTTCATAACACAAATCCATATGAATCGAGCAGTTTAATCTTTAGTCTTGTGAAGAAATTACGTTTCTTTATATTATGAACAGATTACATATGATAAATGCTGAAACTTGTGCATGCTAGTCTTGCTGTGGTAGTCAGTGTTATCGATATTACACAGTGTTCGGCCATACACCAATTACATTACTTGCCCAGTGTCCCCACCGTTGTTTTGCCTTGAGTGCACATGTTTTGCATGTGTGAAGCACAAAAACCAGTGAGGTTCTAGTGTGTTTCCGTGCTAACCTTGTGTGTATGTATGTCATTCATTCTTCAAATGTAAATAAAATAAATAAATGTTTGGAATGACATGAGGGTGAGCAAATGATGACAATTAAATTTTTTGGGTGAACTATCACCCACACTAAAAGTGTGTGTTTGGTGATAATATATCTCTTCCTGTTTATAATCACAGATGTGACCGCCATCATCTTTGTGGCAGCCAGTAGCAGTTATAACATGGTCATAAGGGAAGACAACAGCACTAACCGGCTGCGCGAGTCTCTTGATCTGTTCCGCAGCATCTGGACTAACAGGTTACACAGTTATGCTGTTTCTTGGGATTTCTCAGTTCCCATCCCAAGTGCTACAAAAGTTACCCTAAAATACTTCTATGCGTTTGTAACAGTATAACGGACAATTATTGTTATTAGAGTTTGGTGATAGGGCTGGGCAATGTGTTGGATGTTTTCAATGATTTTTATGGCAAAATTACTTACTATTACTATGATTTTAGAGCACTTTTTTGCATATGTATATTAGGGCTGTCGAGGGAGTAACATTTTTAATCGAATTAATTACGATTACGATTAATCTTAATTCATCGCAAATTAATCACACAATAATTTGGGCTGAGAAATTACCCCCAGAAGATCATTTAAAATCATTATTGTGTTAAATGAGAAAAGCAGTGTATAGACATTACAAAAATGTAGCTTTAGAAAAAAAAAATGTTTTTATTGAACATATAATTTATTACACATAAACTTTAAAGGCTACAATGTGGCCATAACATTGTTTTCAGAAGCTGCATCTGAAGTAGCATTTAGGTTTGTGTGCACAAACTGTTCAGCATTAAGATGAATGCATTCACACTTCAATCCGAATTGCATACATAATGCTATGAATATAATGCTATAAATTAATGGGTTTCAAAAATTGAATATAAAAATTGTGAATTTTTTTTTTTTTTTTTTTTAAATAATGATAACATGATATTATAAATATGAAGTTAAAAACACCAGTAGGTGTCAGCCAGTCTTAATAATATAATAGTCTTAAGTAAATCATTCAGTCATTTGTTCAGCTGATTCATTAAAACTGCTGATTCATTCAGAAACAAAGCAAGTGACTGTCTTAATGAGTGGGTCACTGAATCATTGGCTCACTGTTCATTCAAAATCATGGATTCATTCTTGAAACACCGCTGTTTGTTGCTGTGCAGTTCTACTGTGGATTTGTTTGGAACTATTTTTGTTGGCAAAATTGAGCAAAAAGAGACAATACTGTTATTATTATATCTAAAATGTAATACAACGGGGGTTATGCGCAACAAAATTCCTCATTCTGTAAAACAGGTCGTGTCTCTTCCGGTTCAGGTCTTCTGTATATGCTTTATTAAATAAGGATCTGTTTTACTCAAGAAGCCTTCAAAGGGCATACCAAAGATAATTATAACTGATGTCCATCCCATATGTACAACAGTGTTTTAGAGCCACGTTAAAAAATAAAAAATTTAAGATTACGAGATTAAACTCATAATATTTTGAGAAAAAGTCAAAATTACGTGAATAAAGTCGAAATATTTTGAGAATAAAGTTGAAATATTCTGAGAATAAAGTCAAAATTACGAGAATAGTGAAAATATTTTAAGAATAAAGATGAAATTACGAGAATAAAGTCGAAATAATTTGAGAGTACGAGAATTGAGTCATAGCAATTACGAGATTAAAGCTATAATATTTTGAGACCTATAGCCTATATTACGCATGCAAATTGCCAAGATCGGGAGCACCGGGAGAAATTCCGGTGGTCTGGCAACTGATTTAATTATATGTGGGATTATTAGCTGAAATCATACCATGTGTCACAGGGACAGTATGCTTGGAAATAATATTTCACGTCTTCAAATGCATTCATTTGTATTACGCCAGCCACCCAATAATAGCAATAAGCTTTGTGCTTTTGGAACTTTTAATATAAAACAAATTCTCAGCTTTCAAATTGTTTCAAATTTAAACTGTCAGTTAAATAGCGAAATACAAACAATATGTCTTACAATAATGTATTTTTCACGCTCTTTAATGTGGCGTGACCGATCGCAGTTTAAGCGGCATGTGAATCAATCATCTTTTCGTTAATGAGACATTCTTTCATTAAATGATACTACATTTATTCTCAAAATATTTCAACTTTATTCTCGTATTGCTACGATTTTATTCTTGTAATTTTTACATAATTATCAAAATATTACGACTTTAATCTCGTAATCTTAGAGTTTTTTTTATTTTTTAACGTGGCACTAAAACGCCATTGTACATATGCAGATAGATATCTTGATATCTTATTTTTCTTCTAATTAACACTCTAATATTAAAATTGAATAAAACACTAACAATAAAAACAACTAGCTAGGTTACTTTAAAAGTCCATAGATATCACCATCAGTTTATACCGCTGTAAACACTTTCTCCAACAAGTGGTGATACCTGTTTTTCGGTTTGGTTAGGTGACGTTTGACATATACCCCATATGAACTTCTTGTTTATTGAACTATTGTGTAAAATGAATAGCACATTTGCAATCATGCAGATATTATACATAAGATGTATGCGTAGGACAAAAAACCCCATACAGAGGCATTATTTGCCCTCATATCTTGAACTCAAGGGGCATGTAACTGCGTTCTAATAGGCTGCATCACGCAGTCATCGTCATGTATTGTGTTCATCACTAAGCAACTGCATGCAATATAAGTTGGTGTACAGGTCTGGGCCGGGTACGTTAAATGCTTAAAGAGTTTTAACAAGTTATTTTTTCCATTATTAAACTGCACCAAATTAACATGTTAAATGGACAGTCCTCGTATTTCCAAAATAAATTTATAAGTATCACATATAGAAAAAAATATAGCAAAAATACCTATATGCATAGGCGGAGTTTCACATTTTTGCCTGGGGGGGGCACCTTTAAATTATTTATTTACATATGGGCCATTCTACAGAATTGGTGCAAACTGCTGTCCTACAGCCAAAAAACACATTTAAAAAGCATTTAAGTATTCAATGTATTAAGCATCCTTCTATTCTCTATTGAAACCCACAATAATATTTAAAGTATTAGTAAGCTTAATATATATATATATATATATATAAAATCATCATTTATTGGGTACTTTCAGTTGGGAGGTGGCTGTCCCAAACCCTAACCCCTAAATTTCAATTTATGAAAATTATATCGGAATAATTTTTGTATTTTTTCCCGTTGTTTTTTAAAATATCTTTGATTCTTTTAAGAAGTGAAGTTTTGAGGTTAATGTGCTCAAAAGTCTGAAAAATCTATGTGTTTCTGCAATTAAGCACACTTTTTTGGGAGTTATAATTTTTATGTGTGTACAACTGTTCAAAACTCTGCTAGCCAACCATGTGCTGATTAGCATCTTTGAGTATCTAAAATTGTCACAACCGAAACTGTCACTACCGAAACATTTGGTGGAGTTTCGGTAGTGACATCTTTGGGGGGTTTTTTGGGTGTCATCCCATAAAATTGTCACTACCGAAACTGAAACATATCATCATTGTTTCGGTAGTGACAAAAGGGAACACATAATCCTCATATTTGGGGGAAATCTTTTTTTATAGTACAGTTATGCAAATGTTTTGTATTTTAGTATGTTTTAGTAGTGTTTTAGTATGCAAGTTAAAATTCAAGTTAATGATGTGGTCGCTACCAAAGCATTACTGTCACTACCGAAAATGTGCAGTCACTACTGAAACATGGGATGTTTTGTCAAAAATAAAGTATACTGAATTATTAACTAAGATGCTATGATAGTTTTTGGTTCAATATATATTCAAACTAATGAATCCTTAACTTTGAAATCCGTATGATCAACTTTTTGCCTTTTACAAAGAAAAATTGGATTCAAAATACAACAAATCTCCTAAATTACACTTGAAATATTGTTAAAAATGTAACTGTTATTGATTTACCTCTGAAAAAAATTATAAAATAACAAAATATATTTACAATGTAGATGCAAGCAAAATCTTAATAGGTCAATATAACCTTTCTAATTAAATTATTATTACCGTGTTTCGGTAGGGGAGAGGACAAATATTCCAAAACTTTCTGAAAATACAATATGAGAATTAACTGTGCGATTACTAGAAATGTCTACCTTGGATATTATACAATTTGCATACATACACATTTTTGGGAAAAATACACATTTTTTTCAAGACGATTTTAACTCTAGACTTTGGACCAATTCTGTAGAATGGCCCATATACCATATTTTCTACATTTCAATTATTTATAGCCTATATAATTTCTTCTTCATTTAAAATACATTTAAAATTAACAATGACTGGTAGGCTATACAAAGACTGGAATAAAAACTTAGATCTTCTTATACCTAGAAGAATCCGCCTCTTTTGCTGTGTCAGTATTAGCGGCAGTAGAATAAATATGGGAAGTGTCAGAGTTAGAGACCTTCACTCTTTTAGTTGTGGGTTTATTTAAAAAAACGACAAATATCCGTTTTGTTTATTTAGCATAGCTCTGCAGACTAAAGCGGGAACAGAACGAGAAGAGAGTCCACTCACGCAATACTTTGAGATTCGTGAGTAGCAAGAGTATAAAAACATTAATTTTAAATGATACCATGGTCTGTCTGAATACTCGATTCTGATTGGCTGGCAGGTATGCATTTAAACTGTTTAGTGCACAGGTAGTTCCAAGTCAGTTTAATCACCGTTCTATATTAATGTGCTGCTTTAATTGATGCACACACACACACACACCACTCGCACATAAACACAGTGAGAAGGGAGAGAGGTCGGAGATCGCAGATCACGCTGCGCACACACAAAAACTTATTGTCAGCTCTGCCCTGCTACTTTCATTAATAAAATACCCTAGATACTAGAACGCTACATTATATTTCTCAGCCAGGAGGGGGTAAAATCACTGTTTTTGAAGTAACTAAACCGCTTCATTGTTTGTAGAGAGAGACGCACAGACACACACAACTGTCATCTCTCTCTCGCTCTCGATCGATCGATAATTCATTCAAATAAATGCTATAATTCATTCAAATAAATGTGGTCTTACCACACTATTTCATCTCTATCTGATTTGAAGTGGGCAAAATGTTTGATCTAACGAGAAGTAACTGACGAAAATAACCATAATTTTTACTCTTCCGGTTAAATATTGCACTGCAAACATCATAAACAGCCTTTAAATTGTCAATGCTGGCAAATGACCATGGTATAAGCGGGATAATGCACGGCTAGCTGTCCATTAAACAATTTGAATGCACTTCGCAGATGCAACCGCTTCACGTCGGGTGGTTCTTGGCCTCCACATGGTGCATTAAAATCGTTTAATGCACAGCTAGCCGTGCATTATCCCTTACATAATTTAGTCTTATCTTACTCATTAAAATAATAAGATAATACAAATAAAATGTGAAAATATTTGTTTTATTTATAGCTCTGGCAAAATCGATTGGATCTGGTCCAAACTCCGCCTATGCCTATATGGTCATATACACTTATCATGATACACAATTTCATATATGTGATATTTTTAGTCATTGCACCCATGCCTAAATATTACATACATTTTATTTTTAAGTCAAATAGAAGAGACAGGTGGCACCTTTAAATATTAAAGTGCCATCTCAAGAATGGCTCAAAGCTGCAGCTGAACATCTCTAAATAAAAATATCAGCAGATATAGAAATAAAAAGACATGTCTCACTTTGTGTTTTCAAACAGGTTTTTAAGGACCATCTCAGTGATCTTATTTCTGAACAAACAGGACATGCTGGCAGAAAAGATCCTGGCAGGAAAATCCAAACTTGAAGATTATTTCCCAGAGTATGCTCGCTACACTCTTCCTCCTGAAGGTAATGACCTGTATATGATCATAATATACTTATAAACAAGAGATTCTTAGTGCATTCCAGTGAATTATTTATGATATATGTTCACTAAATCAGACATTTTCTTGTGATATCAACACATTAAAATGTCAAGACTTTTGTCATTTTCCTGACAGATAGAAATAGAGCATAAAAGGAAAAAATACAGCTTATTCAGTCAAACTGACAGATAAGGATGATTTAAAATGCAACTTTTTATTTCAACATTTGTTTCAGTCCTTATGAGTGGTGAGATTTTTTCCCCCTAGCCAGCTAAGTGCAAAACCCTCCCCACAGCCAGTTCTAAAGATTTCATTGGTTATGTCAATCACAGTGCTGGTTGTCTACACAACACTGGAACTAACCTCTAATCTTAAATTAAACCCTAAGTTTAGCCTTAGTAGTTGTTAGCACATCCTGATAGATGGCATTAATGTTCATGGTCAGACCTATCCATGATATTTCTGAACTCTAAACTGAATCCATGAAGTCTGAACTTTTGTTAGCAAATAAGAGTCATTGAGTTGCAGTTTGTGCTTAACTCATTTGGTAAAATAATCAGGCTTTGAAATACACCTGTGTTGTCACATGGAAAATCACAACGGAGATGTAAACAGAAACAAAGTTGGTATCCAATATAATGTTTATTTAAAAGCAGGTGTGCAAATGTGTAAATAAAAAGAGTAAAAAAAAAGTTATCAATAAAAATGACACTACAGCTGTAGCAAAACCCTCCTCATAAAACATTTGAGGCCAGAGTTACATCAGTAATTGCATAAAATGATGATTAAGAACAGGAGTTTAAAAAAAAATGTAAATGCAATAAATAGGATGGATAAAAACCAAAACATACATTTGCATAAACATTTCCATAAATAGGTAAAATGAGTTTTCCCTTTCATTTAAAAAAAAAAAAGTGGCGTGCATTATGATAACCCATACTCAGAATTTGTTCTCTGCATTTATCCCATCCAAGTGCACATACAAAGCAGTGAGTAGTGAACACAAACACACACCCGGCGCAGTGGGCAGCCATTTGGCACCCGGGGAGCAATTGGGAGTTCAGTGCCTTGCTCATGGGCATAGGGTACGGCTCTAGCACCCACTGAGTTTTGAACTGGAATATAGAATCCAACTGGCATATATGTAATGGAAATGAATTCCAAGGTTTTGGCACTGAACAACTAAAATCCCCAGCACCCATAGTACTTAATTTACATTTTGGAAAAGTCAGTAAATCTACTAAGGATGACCTTAAAAAGTGCAATGGAATGTATGTTTGAAGAAGGTCTGAAAGAGAAAGAGAAAGAGGAACTAAATTATGAAGAGCTTTAAAAGTGACTCATTCTAGATCACTCTATGGTTACACAACCTTGAACTACCTGCTGAATGGCCAGGACACCACACACCTTATATACTAGGGCTGGGTTTTGACACAAATTTCACGATTTGATTCGATTCACATTCACAAGCTTGCAATTCGATTCGATTACCAATTCGATTCGATTCGATTCAATGTCGATTATTTTGGATATATATACAGTGGGTACGGAAAGTATTCAGACCCCCTTCAATTTTTCACTCTTTGTTATATTGCAGCCATTTGCGAAAATCATTTAAGTTAATTTTTTTTATATACTTATAATACTTAGGACCATGTGATATTTCAGTTTTTCTTTTTTAATAAATCTGCAAATATGTCAACAATTCTGTGTTTTTCTGTCAATATGGGGTGCTGTGTGTACATTAATGAGGAAAAAAAATTAACTTAAATGATTTTAGCAAATGGCTGCAATATAACAAAGAGTGAAAAATTGAAGGGGGTCTGAATACTTTCCGTACCCACTGTATATCGGGTACAGTACATGCCAAATTTTCTCAAGGAAAAAAAATCTCTCAACTAATGCTGTAAAATATACATGAGAGTCAGTTGGTACTACATTATTATAGTATTGAAGGTTAAAATTAACTGATGTTAAAATTTCACTTAATGAAGTTTTTAAAATAATAAAGTTACAATTACATCATATTTCTACTTCAATTTGTTGTTGTTTTTTTAAATATAAACATAATGGTGGCTGTCATAAAATGATGGATTTATTGAAGGAACAGTAACATTTATAATGAATATGTTATATGGTGCATATATTTCTTTGGATGTTTAGTCATGTTTATTTTGTACTGAAACTGGTATTAATGTGCAGAAGATGATTAGTTAATGTGCTCCTCGCTGTTGAACTGTTGATCGAGGCGCTACAGCGATCTGTCACTCCACATTAAACAGCGCCAAAACGGCATTTATTGTAATACTGCAATACATTGGACAGAATTTTAAGAATCGATATCGTTCCGTAAAAATGAGAATCGATTCATATCGCGATATCTATATTTTTTACCCAGCCCTATTATATACCCATAGTAGGCAAACCTCACTCCCCCGGACATCCTGGGGCAAACCATTTATTTTTATTAAAACTTTATTAAACTTTATTTGTTAAAACTTTATTCAAACTAAAACTAAAACGACTAAAATCAAAATAAAAATAATATCTAAATAGTAGCCTATTGTTTTTTTATAAAAATGCTAAAAGTTTTGGAAGAATGCTTAGACTAAAGCTGATTCAGTTGAACATCGAAAATTCGTATTGCCGAAAGAATTGCAGTGTTAACACACACAATTAAAACAGCGCAAAATGAAAATAGCATAACCAGCAGTAACAAATTATTTAGCTTTTGTTCCCTAAAAGGAACCGACTGCCTTTCACTTTACAAAAAAAACAGAGATTGATTGTAAAACAGCTATGTAAATCTTGCTCCACTCACATATGTTTCTGTAGAGTTGGCAGGGATGCTTTACCTCAATAGTTCCAATAGTTCATGATTAGACAATACAAGATTGTTGATAATCATAACACACAGCTCAAACATTCTAAAACCCTATAAAACAAACTGAACACTTTAATCGATTAAACACTTTCATTTTAAACCTTTTAAATAGATTACAATATTTAGAACCTAATAAAAATACATTTGGACACATCATGACATTTGAGCGGTGATTCACATCTTTGTATTTTCACCCCCCGCAATGAAGCTTATTGAACTGTCCCAATCCCCAACCCCCTCCGGCTGGAATTATACAAATGTAAAATCACACTGTTGGATAATATGTGTTGCTTACTCTAAAAATGAACATGCTCTATCAAAAAAAAAAACAAAAAAAAAAAGATGTAACTTAAATCAGTGTGTTTTAGAACTGCAAAACACACACAAATATCTGCATTGATTCAATAAATAAATAAATAAAAACAAGCAAATTTGTTTGGGATTTGAACCCATGTCATTGACATTGTTGACCAACGCTCTACCCAGTGGCGCCTCCAAAGTGGCCACCCCTAAAAAAAACTTTGGCCCACCCCCCATCTGCCAAGCCCTTGTTGACTGCTCATGCTTAAAGGGGTCATATGATGTTGCTAAAAAGAACATTATTTGGTGTATTTGGTGTAATGAAAT